GTTCTAAGGAGGAAGCAAAAGAGAACACACACACACACATTTCAGAATATTTGTTAAAGTTACACCACCAGAGCAAAGGTACGTGCCAGAAATTTTTATTTGAGCTTAGTAAGTTGAAAGGTGATCAATATGAATCAGTGGTTTTATCATTACTCTTAGCTTCAAGCCACAGCTACATCCCTTTTCCTCCCCACACTATTTCCATTACTCCAGTACTAATTCTTGAACAATACAAGTGAGATGTCGTTGGAAATCAACTGAAGGTCACATTGCAAGTCTGGGGCCCCCTGCGTGCCTTGCCAGAAGGCACTCGAAAATTTAGGTCATGAAAACTGCTTGGCAAGGAATTCATTAATGTTAGGTCACATTACCCTGATACCAAGACAATCAGCTCAGCCAGGAAGCCTCCAACTGTTCTGTTTTTGACAAGACACATTCCCATTTGTCCACAGGAAAGTAGGTCTTAATGGCTCATTAATTTATTTTTTTTCCATAGGTGACCAGCAAATGTTCACTTCTGATAGAACAATAGAACACATTAACCTTGCTTTCAAGACAAACAAGTCCTCTGCAAAATAGGTACTTAGATGCTATTTTAGGGTTTTCGAAGCGTGATATTCTTGAGAAAACAAAGAGCTGTCCTTTCACAATCCCACAAATCACTTACTTTTTCCTTGGTCCTCGTTTTGCTTTAACCATCTTCTTCTGAGCTGGCTTTGCATTGGCCTCCTCAACAGAGTCTGCAGGCAGGGGAGTCTTTTGGGTTTCCAGAGTTTCTTGGTTTTGATCAGAGGGCACCAAAGGATTGCACCCACCTTCCTTATCCTTCTGGTCTTCTGGTTTCACAGCACCTTCAACTATTTTGCCACCATTCTTTTTTCCTGGTGACAAGGAAATCGAGTAAGGCTCTGAACTTAGGGCCAGCTATACCCAAGTGTTTAAATGAATTCCAGTGGTTTAGAGCTCTGTCAAATGAGAGAAAAAGGACAGCAATGACCCTGCACCACTGGGCTCAGCAGCTGCAGATGGTGGCACCAAGTGGCCAATGCCACCCAGGATAAATCCATGGGAGCTAAAGGGCTGGCACTGACAAGAAATCTACACTCCCCACAAGCAACATTCATTTGTTTTTTTGCATCCTACCCCAATACAACCACATCCTCCTCCTCAGACAACTGACTCAGAGGTAGGTGAGAGTGGTTTAAAGCTCAATAACGTTTTTATGTAGAGTAAATCATCAGGTTTAACAGTCCCATCTGCTGAGACAGATGTTTCAGTCTCACTGGAGAAAAGAAGCACAGCTGCAAGGCCTCAGCAGGGGGAAAAGCTAAAGCTATCTTCACTTCCTTGTCAAAACTGGGGAGCCAAATTAGGAACTAAAGGCCCCAAGTTTCCAGAAAGCCTGACACTCCCTGCATCAAATGGGACTGAAAATACCTGCTTGTAAAAGTGTTTGCATCAAAGTGCTTTGACAAATTACCAAGGCTGTTAAATGCACCTTTAAACACAAAGCCAGATGGGTTTTCTTCCCCTTCATAAACTTACAGAACACTCCCATTTCTAGTCACTGTGAAGCCTGGCACTCAGCATCCACAATTCGGGCTCTTCCTCACTGCTTTTATTTCTTGATGAAAATGTCAGAATTGGGGGGGTGGGAGCATATTTACTAAAATAAACAATCCAAAGCTCAATCTTACCAGCTCCTTTCCTGTAGGTTTCCTTTAGTGTGTTGCCCTGACATTTCACCTCGTGATACATGACAGAGTTTTCTTCTTGAAGCGGGGGGCGAGCACCAGAAGCTTTGTTGGGATTCAGGTAGCTGTAGATTTTGGATTGACCAATAAACACATTCTCCTAAAACAGACCCACACAAAAAAAAATCAGTTCAGTACAGAGATTCCAGGAACCTCAAGCTGGCACCCACAACAGTCTGCAGCAAGCAGGGCTGACAGGTGATTGTGCTGATGCAAATTACACTGTTTGAAGCATCACCCTCACTGAGGTTGTGATTTCTAAGTGAAAATGTAACAGTGCTGAGCACTCTGAGAGCTTAAATAATAAAATGTGGCAGGATGGGGTAGTCACAGCTAACTCCAGCCTCCACCCTTGTTCTTCACAGCATGAACTTTCGTGCTAAAAAAAAAAGCCCCAAGCCTTAGCTCCTGGGGAAGAAGGCAGCCTCAAAGAGCACAAGCCAAAAAACAAAAAAAAGAATAGTGCAGCAAAAATTGCCCAGGCCCAGCACAGAGCCCTCACAGCCAGAGAGGTATGAGCTACCCAGCTACTCTCAGGAGGTGTCAAATGTTGTTGCAGCAAATTATATGCTCAACTGAGCAGCACAGGAATCAGTTTTACAGCCTACCTTGAGTGACACCTCTCAGCAAAGCATGGCAGACAAACAGTGCTATATTTTATCCATTATATGACATAAAATAAAGTGTAAATGTTGTGTATGGCAAGAAAGGCCCATTAAAGAATCTATGCAAAGCCCAGACAGGAAAATGGCAAAACCCTTTGGCACGGCCAGACGCCACAGAGCCTGGGGTTTGTCACTGGCTCAGGCTCCAAGATGCCAACAGTGGCAGTGTCCAATTTAGCAAAGATTAGTGGAGTCCTGTCACCTTTGCTTTCTCAGCCTCCTGGCTATGTTGCCTGTGCAGGGTATGTCAGGCACATTCCAACCGTGAAATCTCAGTGTCTGGACAAACAGATACAACTTGGGCAGAATGAGGGTTTTTTTTGGCTATAGTTTGACTCAACCAAAAGCAATTTTCAGACATTGCATGCCAGTTAAAACAACAAAAATATGCATCCATTTTCTTAGAAAAGCAAGGAACAAAGGGTCCCAGTAGTTAAAAAAAGATAGCTCAAATATAGCTGACTAAACAAATACCTCAGCATTTCAGTCACAGACCCTGCAAAAGTAAACAAAGTACACAATAGAACAGATAGGATAATTTTAATAATTAACGTGGTCATGAATAACAAACTTCCTATGTACATAATTCACACAAAATCAGACCAGTTAAAGGCTCAAATCCTAGCCCACAAATAAACTACTAAGGATTGAGATTACAATTACAGCCTGAGAAAAAACAAATCAGACAGACACTCCCTGACCTTCAATATTTCTGAAAGGCCTCTGAAAGGCAAAACTTACTTATTAAAAGCACGAAATACTATGAAAACACTCTGTTTTAACAAATGCAAGCAATGAACCCTGACCTTCAAAGTCCTCAAGATTTAATAAGAAGTTTAAATACGGGCATTTCGGGAGAAAGCCCAAAGCAGTGAACAGCAGTCCACCTGCCAGCTGAGCCTTCAGGCTTTGAATACACCATGAACAGGAAACGAACAACTCTTTTTCCAGCACAGCTTCCTCCCTTCATTCCCAGCTCCCTGCCTGCTGTGCTCTTGGCGCAACCGAGCTGCCGCTGCCACGTCTTTGTCTGTGCCAGGCTTGAGACCCCGGAGAGCTGAGATTTTCTCAGCGCAGCAAAACACACCAAAGGCTGCCTGCCGAGGGGCTCCGCGATTTAATGCGATAGCCACAACTATTTCCATTGCGAGTCAAAGGCAAAAAGACAAGCGGCCTCCGGCCAGCTGCCTGTGACAGAGCTACAGGACGGGGAAGATGGCACGGAGGGAATGCCGAGCCTAGTGCCCGTCTGCGACAGGGCACAGGGAAACACGGAAAGAGTCCGACTGTAGTTAAACTTAACCGATTCCTGAATGATTTGAGGGGCTCTCGAAGGCCCGGGCCCCGCGGTTCCCCGGGACAGCCCGCACACCGGCTCGCCCGCACCGGGGGGAAACGGAGAGCACCGGAGACCCCCGGGTGCCGCCCGCCCCGCTCCCCGCCCAGGCCCGGGCACTGCTTACCCCGCCGGCCCGGGGGCGGCTAGGGCCCTTCCTCTCGGCGCTCTCGGGGCTTGCCTTCTCCACGCCGCCCGCCCTGGTCTTGGGCATGTTCTTCCCTAGGAGCAACGGGGGAAGATCGGCGCCTGAGCCATGTCCGGCGCTGCAGCCCGCGGTCATCGCCCGGCCGCCGCGGCCTGCGCCATGTTTAAAGGGCTGGATGCGGCAGGGCGAGCCGCGGCGGCCCAGCCCCTTCCCGGCGAGCTGCGCACACCGCGCGGGGGAGGAGTCCCGCCGGCCCCGGCTCCCCGCACCTCCCAGGAGGAGCTTCCGTGCCGGGGAGATGCCCCGCGCCTCGCGGGCCCAGCCCCGCCGGCCCGCCGCGCCCCGGCCCCGCTCAGCTCGTGCCCGCTCCGCCCCGCGCACCTCCAGCCATGGCGGTGGCGGCGGCGGCCCCGCGCCCCCGAGCCCCCGCGCCGGGAGGCCCCGACTGTCCCCGCGGAGTCCCCGCCGCCGCCAACCGCTCCGCAGGGAGACGCCGCGTTACCCTTGGCAACCCCATTGGTTTGACCTCCTGCCAATCATCGCGCTTAAGCTTCTGATTGGCGCAAGCGGCCATAACCCGCCCTCCCCTTGTCAGACCCCGGTGGCTGCGGCTCCGGGGAACAGGGTTTAAATGTGTGTTCGCTGGGCGCTGATTGGTCCGTGCCGAGGACAAGCAGCGCTCTGATTGGCGGTCTGGTCGGGCATGCCCCTCCCGAGGCCGGGCCGCGCCACGTGGGTGGGAGCGCGCGGGAGCGGGACCCTCCGGTGCCCGTGGTGCCCCCGCCCGCTCTGCCGGGGCACCGGCACCTCCCGCCGCCTCCTCCTGCACCTCTCCGCAGGGCACACGGCCCCCGCCACCTCGCAGCGGGGATTTGGAGAACCCCTAATCCTGGCGGCATTGTAAAACTGTGCTCTCTGAAATTATTAGGCTGCTTTATGCAGCGCTTAGCTTGGATCTCCCTGGTTGAAGTTTAAGTCTCTTAGTTCCATCTTCCAAGCTTGCCTGGAGAGCAGGTAATACTCCAGCATTGCACTAAAGCATCAAAGACCTTATGTAAATCCCCATTCCATAACGCAGCTAAAATACTACAAAGCCAAATGACAGAGCCGTCATTATCACCAGGAGAGCTGGAACTGCCTTCAGCATCGATTCCCTGGTCAGAAGCTGCCAACAGGACCAGCACATGCACTTTGAAATCAGGAAAGTAAAATGGCAAAGAGTAAGGGAGCAATGAGGCAAAGCGTGCGTGGATGGGGGATCTGGATGGATGCCAAGTGGATGCCATGGTGCAAGTCAGGACTTTGGTGCTCCACGATAAGCAGAACACTTACACTGAGCACCGTGCATGACTCCTGTTTCCTATCTGTGCCACCCCCCTGCAGCAAGGCTACCTGAGCGTGCTCAGGGGTGCTGGCACTTGTGCTGGCCCAAGCGCTATCACCACAGGGGTGGCTTCCCAGGCAGGGCTTATCTACAGCCACAGGCTGCCTCTTGTCTCTCGGGCATTCCCACAGTGACATAAACAGCCAGTCAGTGATACAGCTGAAAACCATCCTTTCCCTTAAGAACAGGAAAAAACCCTTCTCATCTTAAGCAAGAACTTGGGGCCTCGTCCTTTCTAAGCTGTCACGCAGCTCACAGTGACAGGAATTCAGTGTGACTGCAGAGGAGCCCCAGGAGGCAGCACAGCATTCCAGGCCACCCCCTCCTCTTCTGGTGATACCTCTGCATTCAGGCACTTTGGGAGAAGGCAGAACAAGCTCTGCGTGGCACTGACATTTGTTACATCTGGGTCTTCGATCACCAGGCACATGAATTTTAGAGAGGCAAGCAAAACACACTGGGTGTTCTACTGTAAACTCAAAGCTGCAGCCAGCTGACATCCTCTGGGCATCACGTCCATGAACATCCATGTCCATGGTGTTCTTGCATCAAGGCAGGTACTGCAAGCTCTCTGCAAAAGCACCAGAGCAGACACTGCTCTGATTTTTCCACCCCAGTTTGCACCGTACTTATTGCAGCTGGAAAAAAAAAAAAAGACCTTCATAAATTACTAAGATGATTTCCTTCTTGCAGTAATAGGGAGCACTCTTCCTAATGTCTTGGGAAAGCTCTGGAAACGCCCTCAACTGCGGTTTTGCTCAGCTGTCGGGGGTTGTATATTTTAAATAATTATTTTATATATGTATATTTAGCAAAGGAAGCGAGTTGGCATCGAAGCCGCGCGGGCCACCAGTAGAGGGCAAAGGAAGCCAAGGAATTCTCTTCCCCAGAGCAACAAAGAAAACAACGTCATCTCCGAGTGGCCGCTGCTCCCGGCGCGCTGGGATCACACTGCGAATTAGCAAAACATGCTGGCTTCACCCCTCAGCCGGCTGCGGCCAAAAGCCAGAGACGAGGAGAAGTTAAAACGCCAAAAGCTGCGGCCCGAAGGAGCGCGGCCGGTCGCTGTGGGTCGGGACACGCAGCAGCACACGGAGAGAGCGCTGCCGGCTCCCGGGATCCAGAGGGAGCAGCGCGGCTCCCTCCCGCTGGAAGCAGCGCTGAAACCCAGTGACCTAAATATTCTCGCCCGTGGTGCCGCATGAGCAGCTCCCGGGAGCACCACGTTTGACTGCGGAAATGTGAAATTGTTTTGTGGGGGAAGGGAGGGGAGAGCGAGCGAGGCGTTCAAAAAGGGAGGGAAATCGTCAAGGTAAATCTCTTGGGTATAGATGAACACTTCATCCAGTTTAAAAAAAATCTTATTTTATCTCTGAATTCGTAGTTTAATTTTCTGTCCAATATACCAAGGAGAGGCTTCTTAAATATCTGAGAGCAAGTTCTCACACAGCACCTGTCATATTTGCAATTTGCAAAACAAATGACAGCATTTACACAAATTTCTCGTTCACAAGATGAAATCCCTACAATTTGTGCTTCAGCCACTAGAAATCAAGTAAAAACAATCCCTGAGGGTAACTGCTGAGTATTACATTAAGCAATATCATTTTATAAAGTCATAGAGTAAAATGCCAGTAGGTGCTAACTGCATTTCAGAGATTATAAAATATAATTACCTTCAGAATTGTATCTACCAATGACATAAAAAAAAAATATATCTCTGACTAGAAAGTGCAATGAGATCCGTGAATTACATGCCAAAATTCTATGGAAACAGAGTCCTGCCGACAAATGTGCCTGTGCTAATTCCACACCGGTGGAAAGCAGCATTTCCACCAGCGGGATTACTCACCCATTGCAGTCGAGGATGATCACAAACGCTGACAGGTAACTCCCTTTTCAACTCAAGCCATCAAAACCCTCCCTTTCTTGTCACGATTGCACAGAGCTGCTGAGATTTGAAGTTCGATTCAGCGTGTGTGAGCTGTATTTCATCGTGCCTTCATCTGAAGTGTGCAGAGGACAATCGCAAAGATAAAAGCTGCCATTTAAATTGTTCTTCTGGTCTCTGGCCTCACTTCTGTCGTCTTTTTCTCTGTCTGAAGCATCACTGATTAATCTGAATTACTTAAATCTGTTTAATTAACGTTGCTTTGTCTTTAAATAGTTTAGCCTTAATCTGTCTAATCCTTTATTGGTTCTATTAATCCCTGTTAAATTTGTCTAATGATAAAATAAGCAAACTTGCACAAGATTGAATGAGTAGTACTGATCACTTGAAGGAATTTCATGATTGCTCACACTTCAATTATGTCTGGCTCAATTCTGTGTGAAAGTTCTTACAAATTTTCATGTTCTTACACAACTGGGAAAGCATTTATTGGAAGATTGTTTCTTTTACCAAGGCTTCTCAGTCTGGAGGTCTCCAGCGCTAAAAAAAAAGTCTCCAAATGTGAAACTAGCATGAGTGGTCTCCAGATTTTAACTCGCTCTTTACAGCAGCAAGTTTCACGTTAGCAGCTTGCACAACATTCGCAAGGGAAAACTCATCCGCCAGCACATCCCCTGGGCATTCCCGGCAGGGCAGCAGGGCTGTCCCCCCATTCTCCTGGAGGAGTTCCTGTGCAGGAACTCTGCAGAGCCGCGGCGCCGTGAGGGGGACGAGGTGGCGGCGCCTCAGGGCGCGGTGGCACCGGCCGCACCGGGGTGCACGGAGCCGCCAACAACGGAGGAACGGGACGGGACCAGGGGGCCGCCTGGAGTGAGACGCGTTCACCAGCGGGAGCACGGGCGGGGATGAGCTCAGATGACACCGGTGCCCCTCAGGCCGAAGCCCCCGGGGCCGAGCCCCGCGCCCGGCCCGGTCCCGCCGCTCCCGCCAACGCCGCCTCAGGCGGGGGCGCGCGCACGGCGCCCCCCCCCCCCCCCCCCCGCCCCGTGATGCAGCGAGAAACGCGAGATCTCGCGAGAGCTCCGCCGCGCCGCCGAGTTCTCGCCGGCAGCCGCCATCTTGCGGGAGCCCATAGGTCACGTGACCGCTCGCAGCCGTTCGCCTCCGCCTTCCCCTCCCCCCACCCTACCGGGAACCGGGCCCGGATCGCCAAGGCTCGACTGCGGCCTCCGCCCTGGGGCGGGGCCCGCCCGCGGGGACTTCGCTTATTTGAAGGACGGTGGATACGCCGGGGTTTCTTTTTTGGGGGGACGGAACGGGGGAACTTGCTGCCTTCTCCTTGCTGAGGGCAGGGAAAAACCGAGGCGCGGCATGTCACGTGACGGGGGGGGCGGCGAGCGGGGAGCGCGCGCCAGGGCCCGGCGGCGGAGGGGAGGGAGGGCAAAGATGGCGGCTGTGAGTTAGAAAGCGGCGGGCGGCGGGGCCGGCGGCGGAGACTTCCAGGAGCCCGCGGGAGGATCGAGTGCGACAGAGAGTAAGTCCCGCGCCGCCCTTTTGCCTTGCGCCGCGCCTGTTTGGCCGCCTCTGCCAGCTCCCCGCGTTGTGGGGCCGCCGCGGGGGTTTCTTCCCCTCAGCTCCTCACCGGGGCCCGCGGCGGCGGCGCGGGGGTGTCCGGGGAGGACCCGTTGTGCTGGGAGCGGCTCCGCGCCTCCCTCTCTCCCTCAGCCCGGGAAGGCTGCGCGGCCGCCCCCGCAGGGGTCCCGGTGGGCCGGGGGCGGCGCGGCGGGCGGGGTAGGCGCCGCCGCCGCCCCGGCGCAGCCCCGCAGAGCCCCCCGGGCCGGCCCGCGCCTTTGTGCGCTCTTTCCGCGGCCGCTGATTGTTGAGGTTGGAAATGGAGAAACGAGGCGGGGGGGATGGGGGGGGGGGTGTTTGATTTATGGTGCCGGAGCGGCTCCGAAAGGCGCCGTGAGACGGAGCCCTCCCGCCCTTCCCCGGGATCGCGGTGCTGTTGGAGGGATCTTTAAAGAGGTGAAGGTCTGGGAACAAAAAGTCGCGCATGGGACGGGATTGCGCAGCCGATTCTGGCCCAACCCGGAAGTTTATGTCGGGAACACGTGTCGGTGGGAAGGTGGCGGGGCAGCAGCCGCCGACCCCCCGCGTCTCCCGTCGCCTCCCCCGGGGGCTTCCCCGCCCTGCCGAGCCCTCAGGGGCCCCGCTGCTCCCGGGGAACTGAACCGCGGCCACAGACACGGCCTCAAAGTCCAGGGACTCTTAACGAGCGCGCCTCAAACAGAGGTTGCTAGGGTGAGTAATAGTTTAACGTAGAAATGCTCCTACAGTCTGATGGGGAAGAGGCCTTTTGGGTTTTTCTGCTGGTTTTTTTTTGGTTGTTTCTGTATTATTGTTAGCTGACCAGGTTCCACGCTGAATTTGAGAGTATAAATTAGAACTGTTGTACTTTCTTTCAGGTACTCATAGGCTGGTTCTACGTGTTTGATACCTGTTAAAGATGAGGCAGATTTTGTGAATGCTTAAAAATAAAACCCTTGAATTGATCTGGTAACTCCAGAGTGAGTAAAAAAAAAAAAAAAAATTTAGTGTGATCAAACGGCACAGTGTGAAGTTAGGAATTAACTCAGTGGTAGACTATTTGCCTTTAGACTAGCAAGGGTCTGTCTGGATTAAAATTATTTAAAAACATACATTAATGTTTTGTAAGCTGCCCTCCCCCAAAATGAAAATCTGTAGTTGATGTTGTAAAGCAAGAATTGTGTAACAGTGTGACATTTGAATTGGTATTCTGTATCTCCCTCACTGCCATGAGATGTTATATTTGTATGCAATCTTAATATTTAGAAATAAAACGTGGGCAGTTTGTCTTTTTGTCCAAACTACTCTGTAAAAGCCACTGTAAAAGCTGTTGAAGCAGGTCGTGGATATCTGCAATGGTGCTTTGAGACACACCTGGAACTGCCTCCCAGGCTGAAACTAAGGATCCTGGTGCTCACATGCTGCTCTTTTTCTTTGAGATTTTACTTCTTAAAAACTTTCACCGCTGGCCAAATTACCAGCTCCAGCCTTTTAGTCTGAAAGCAGATTTCATGCCAAATTATTGCGTTGTTAAGTCTTTTAATATTTTCAGAACTTGTGCATTTCACATTTGCAGACTGTGTGATTTGGCAGTTGTAAATTTTGTAGCACAGTCATTAAAAAACATTGAGGCACATTTGAAGCCCACAGTTCCCTGAAGTGTCCCTCGTGTCCTTGAAAGCTTTGAGTGGTAACCAGCCTTGGAAAAATGGGAATGACTTTTCCAGGATCTGAGTTAACTTACGGTTTTTGTGAGAACACCTTTGTACGTGTGAATGCAAAATTAACTGCTAGTCTTGAGGTTAAGGCATGGAAGCATGAGTGAGTTCATTAATTAGGGCTTTGCTCTTTGATTGGATGGTGACTTGGAGAGGACCAGAAGGGGTTGGGTTGGTTGAGGTTTTTTTGTTTTTTTTAACTGTTACCCAGGTTGCCTTCTGGAGACAAAAGCTGTGAAATGAGCAGATCCCACGTGGCTATCCAGAGAATCCTGTTGGGTGGGATGGGGCTCAGCAGCCCTTACACCTCTCTCTGAGAGGCTGCAGAGGGAAATGTGAAATTTTCAGGTCAGTAAGAACTCATGGTTTAGACAGGCAGAAAATTTTCAGGGCAGAGCTGCCTTGTCTCTACAACTCCAGTATTTGTGTGATATTTTAAATGGCTTCCAGTACAGCTCAGGTGGCAGGTATTCCCCAAAAAGGCAGTGGGAAAACCTTTCCAGTGCAAGAACAGAAGCTGCTGGATGCAGTTTGTGTCCCAGGCAGGCATTAACAACACCCAGCTCTGCAGCTGGGTGCAGCACAGAGCCCAGGTGTCCCAAGGGCCTGGGAATAGCAGTGCCTGCTCTGTTGGGATGTTTGGTTTGGACCAACTTATGATACTGTAATTGATTATGGTTTTTAAATAAGCACTAAAGGCATGCAGTGTTACAATGTGTAACTCACAGACCTGAAAATCAGAAGGCTTTTCATTGTTTGGGGTTCTACCATTATGTTTCTCAGGGGAAACAGAGCAGGTTGCTCGACATGTGTTTTAGGATCTTTTTTTTTTCTTTTCTTTTTTTTGTTTTGTTTCTTTGTATTTAAGCTAAAATGGAAGGAGAGAGAGAGCCAGGTTGGCATGGATACATGACATGATATTAAACATGGCATTCTGGTTTTGTATCTTTAAATCAGGAATTATTTACATAATGTGCAGTGAGCACAAAACTGCCTCTTTCTCAAAGTTTTAAGCTATGCTCTTGGTCAGGAGAGCACCTTACAGAAATGTTTGGTGTGTTTTGGTAGCCCTTCTTGAAATAGCAGCAGTTTGTTTTTCTTTATGCAAAGAAAGTAATTAAGATATTACTACTTTTGAAATGTTACAAATACGGGGTTTTTTAGTTTCATTGAATAGGCTGATTCTTGCTCAGTGACATTGCACTACCTCACTAAACATAGACAATCTTATCTGCAAGATTCTACATGCTCAAAACAGTTCTTTGAGTGATGAAATGCTCAGGGAACAGCTTGTAATATTCACAACTTTTTAATAAGTATTTTCTTTCGGAGATTTTGAAGATGTGGCAAACAGGTCCTTATATAGTATTGCCAAGGCTGAGCTGCAGAGCTTGATAAAGTCACTTTCACTTGTGTTAGCTGAGGAGCCTCCTACCTTGCAAGATTATGGAGCTGGTTCAGCCTGATAATGTTTTAAGCTTAACCAGCATGTGCTACATAGAATAAAATGTTATCACAATGCAGCTTCCCCTATATATCTTTTCTTCCTCATTTAATTTCCTTGCTAAATTAAAATGAGGAGGGTGGGCAGCATCGGTGCTTGGAAGTTGCACAAAGCCTAAAATTGGTGCTAAGTATTCAGTGACTTCTAATGTAAAAATTCTAGAAGTTCAGAATTCCTTTTGTTCCAAACAATGCAGCTTTGTTCCTACTGTACAGAAACAAAATAAGTGAAACTAGTCAAACTTTCATTGTCCAAACTGACAGACAAACAATTGCTGTTGTTTTACTGAGCTTTTTGCTGGGTTGTGAGCAACCATGAATTTTTAAGACTTAAAATTTGGGGTATCAGGAGAGGGGTGCAGCTGGGGGATTTCTTACATGAAAACAGCCTCACTAGAAAGGGATGCTTCTAAACTGGAGGTATTTACTCTGAAATTGTAGGAATTGCTTTGCTAGTTTCTATCACCAGTCATTTACTGAAAACTTTGATATGAGCAGCTAATTCATTACTGCTATGAATTGGTTTTTTTCTGAACTTTGAGACTTTAAGGTCTCAGCCATCATGTTTTTAAAGGTTAAACATGAAGAGGTCAGTGGCATTGTGGAAATGTTAAACTGGACTTGAAACAGATAGAATGGGTCGTGACACCATTGTAGGGTGCCTGGGGAAGATGTGTTTTTTGTGGTGTTGGTGTGGGTTTTTCTTCTAGCTTTGGTTTTGCTTTGAGTCCCAACTTCACAGAAAGGCTTTTCATTCGTGTATTGTGAAAGCAGGCTAAGAGTTCTTGAGTCGTTTTATTTTCCCTTAGTTGTGTTAAGTGAAAAGCCCCAAGCTTCTTCCTTTTTGTGCCTCTATTTAGTCTAGTCCCTTAACTCTCAACCAAGTTTTAGTCATATCTTTGTTTAGCAGTGGGGTGATCACAACTCCATACAGACTAAAGAACGACTCAACTGATGGTTTTTCTATTGTACATTTATGCATTTTAGTTTATCATACAGCTTTGAGCAAAGGTGTTGCCCTGTGTGGAAGGGTGCTCATGCCTCTTTCCCAAATGGATACTGTGCAGTTATGATTTTAAAGTGTTTTGGAGCTGTTTTGATGGGGTGACCTGTGTTAATTCCCCTTCTGTAGAGAAATTAATTTTCACTAGCTGCTCTCAAGTGCTGAACACCAAAAGTACTGATAAGCAAAATTTCATCTGCAGACTTAAACCTTTCTTCCCTCAGCTGTTTCTGCTTAGTAAACAATGCTGCAAGCTTCTAAACTTGGATGTGATGGTCACTGTTAAGATTTTAGTCTGATGAAAATTAAGTATTTATCCTACCTGATTAGTGTATCTATCTAGTCCCCTTTTTTGAGAGAGGAAGCACAATCTTTCTGGAATGAAAGGTGAAACTACAAGTTAGGTCTTACCACTTTTGTTGACCCATTCAGGATTCTGGGAGGCAGGCTAGTGGGTGGTGACATCCTTTAATGGTGCTGCAGTATCAATTAAGTGTGCTAGATGACTTAATACTTCTTAATATTTTCTGTACCTCATAGCAACAGACAAGGCCATTCTGCCAGTTTATTTGGT